AAAGGCAAAATCACTGAAAAATTATTCTCCATCTGATAGTTGTCATTATCAGAAAATAACTACATGAGCGAAATTGTATTTATAAGTTAAGATACTTGTAGACTAGCAATGCTTATGTTAGAAATGCTATGGATCTTGGATACCAAAGCTGTTTTTAGCTTATGTGCATAGAGATTCACCTTATACTAGGGAGATTGATTTGTGTTTTAAAGCTATATTTGTAATACTCCCTAACACAAGTTCTCCACTTCAGTCTGATTAGGCTCTTCCCTGTCCTATGGGTGTCTTATCTCAGTAAATATATACAAAATGAGTTGAAAAAGTTGAAATCATCTTTATAAAGTCATTCTTTCTTTTTTAACTTATATAGAAATAATAGAATTGAAAGGACCAGAAGAACATCCAGCTTAGATGAGGTTCTTCAGAGTTTTCGAAATGTTGGACACAAATCTAAATTTTAAAAATATATTAAGTATTTTAACACTGTAATAAAAATAACATGGACACTCAAATGTGTTATACCCAATTGTAACACATAAACGCATGTGAAACAAAAATAAACTGTGCTGCTAGTTTATATTTTTATGGACTTCTGACTAAAGCTTTGCTACCAATTTTCATGAAGATATTTGAACTTCTTATGGGTAGGCATATTTATTTTTAAGTTTTTATCTGGCCTTGGGTCCATTGTTATATATCCAAATCAAATTATGCAAGCAAGAGCACTGCTGCAGCATGTGTATACTCCATTGAATAAATATGAACAAGATGTAGGGACATCTTCCTGCCATGTATCCTTATCACTCTGTAACAGTTTTGCAATGTCAAATTAATGTGATAATGTTGTATTAAAGAACAGTTTCTGGCTTAACTTAAGTTTTGGATAGTTCTTGCCCATATTTTGTGTTCATGATCAGAAACATGAGTAATGATTAGATATCTTCATTTAATTTTGGAAACAAGATTTTCTTTACTCGTTCTTTAAGCTTCTAGACCATTTTAATTGCAGAGATCTTAATACTGCCAAAGCCAAACTAGTTATTTAAAAAAAAATTTTCTGTGGGGGCCGGCCTGGTGGCGTAGCGCGGTTAAGTGCGCGCGCTCTGAGGCACCTCTTGTCCAACCATGCTATGGTGGTGTCCCATATAAAGTGGAGGAAGATGGGCATGGATGTTAGCCCAGGGCCAGTCTTCCTCAGCAAAAAGAGGAGGATTGGCGACAGATGTTAGCTCAGCGCTAATCTTCCTCACACACAAAAAAAAACAAGTTTCCATTTGCAATAGCTTTTCTGTGGCAATCAGAGTTGTCTCAGTATCATAAAGCCAAAACAAAGCACAGAAATGAATTTGTTGATGAAGATGATTTAGAATTGCAACTGAACTCATATCCCTTGATTTCATACTTTTTATTAATCAAAATAGTCCGTTATTCTATTGATGGATTTCAAAGTTATAATTTGGTCTTATAAAATGAATTATTACTAACAAATCTCTTTTTCTGTTTCATATAATAGAGATTCCATTTAGAATTTATTAGACGGAAGAGATCTACAACTAAAATAATGTGAAAATCACTGATCTGGTCCAATCCATTAACTTTACAAATTGAAAAATTAAAGCTCAGGTTAAGTGTCTTGCTCAAAGTTATACAGCTAGAAAATTGCAGATGCCAAACTTCCTAATCCTTAGTTCACTGTTTTTCTGTTATTTGTTACCTCATCTCTGAGTTCCTATAGTACAATTAGTTTATGCCATGCTATTTAGCATTTAATGCCATGGTTTATATACAGGCATTCATTTATTTATTCAACAAGTAATTTTCTGTGTGCCAGGCACTCTTCTAGGTACTAGAGACATTCCCTGTATCTAGAAATTGTGCTGAAAATAAAATTTAAAAAGTAGATTCTGTTCAGCCTCCATTCAGTTTTGGTTGAATACACACCTGCAGTTAGCCACCTTGTGTATCACTGGGTGGTTTTAACATATTATTAAAAAGAACTTTTCTATTTATGGTTATATTTTAGGGGAGTAAAAAAAGTTCTTTAGTATTTTAAAAGGTGAGAAAAATAAATAATTCAACTCAAAGCACACTGTTTGCATACCATGTACCTGGTAATGTGTTTGGCAGCTAGAACACAAAGATATATGAAACGTGGAATGGGTGTACATAAAACAGAGTGTGGTACGTGCTGTTACATACATGTAAACAGCACTATAGAATGAGAGAGGAATGAACAAGTAACTCTAAGCGAGAGGCTGGAGGGGTCTTCATGGAGAAATTGACCCTGGAATTTAGCTAAAGAAAGTTTAATGTAGCAGGAGGAGTGAGGAGTAAGCGTTTTTAGCCATCATTAGATGATTGAAGAACAGAAATAATGAAATGTGAGGACTTCTTATTTTGTACCTTAGGTATTCCTTATGTTTCTACCTATTTCTATTTCTAAGTGTTAAGTTCTTTGAGAACACCAATGGTATTTAGTGCTTCCCTATCTGATGGTGGTGACTAGTGCTGTGCTGAGCATGGCAAGAGCTCACTGTATGCCTACTGATTAGTTGTGCTCATCATTCACTCAGCACATATTTTTGGCTCCAGCATGTATAAGGTTCTATACTTTGTGATGTGAGAAATAAAAAAGTTGTGATACAAAGCCAGCCTTCAAGGAGCTATGGCACCCAAAGCAAAAAATAGCAGAGATTTTTGTCTGTATGATGACTAATCCATGTGCTCACGGAGCTTACATTCTTATCAGATGAGACAGATAATAATAGGGTAAATAGTAAAATATATAGTATGTTAACTAGTGATAAATACTAAAGAGAAAAAAATAAAGTAGGAAAGGGGGATATGAATTATCAGACACAAAAAGAGAAGGTAAAGTTACTTAATTTCTCTTGCCTCGGTTTCCTCAATTCTAGAAAAGGAAAAATAATAGTATGTAATTATACGGTTGTGACAAGGATTAAATTAGTTAATATATGTATGTATGAAGTGCTCAGCACAGGTCCCAGAAGATGGTAAGATAAATGTCAGCTAATATTATTTATGCAATTGGGTAAAATAACTTTAGCACAATAGTCATCTTATTTTCATCACTTATGGACTTCTTTTATTAAAGGATATACTTCCAAACAGTTTTGAACTACTTTATCTAAAGGCTAAGACCCCCTCATCCATATCTTGCTTCTTTTAGCTTCTGCTTCCAGTGCACTCACATCTAATATTACTTTCTTATTGAAATGAATCATCGTTCTTTGATAGTAATTCTTCTAGAAAACAATATTTGCTTATCTAGATGTCAGAAACATCATTTTCTGTTTCAGGCATCAGGCAGACATCGAGATCTTCCTGTGGAAAATATTCATTAATGCATTATCACTTATGACATCTCAAGGTTAAAAGGTCTGACAAAATGAGACCTTTATGCTTGCTTACCAGCTAAAAATGAGTACAATATTGGAATTGTTATTATCAGACAGAATTGTAAAATCTTTGATATTAATCTTTTGAAACTAAGATCATTTGCATGGACTGGGTGAAGTTTCAGGTCTCCTACTAACCTTTCTTTGCCTATCTAACCTCTATGCATCCTCAGATGTATCCTTCCTCTCCCTTTCTCTGATTCCTGAAAACTGAACCAGCTCTTTCTTTCTGCTCATTAGCACTCCATACTTAGCCCTATCATAGCTGGTATCATTCAATGTTGTAATTACCTATTTTCCTGACTGCCCAACTCCCCACCCTCCACCTCCCAGGCAATAAGCTCCTTGAAATAGGGACTGTATTCTCTTTATGTTTGGGTCCCTAGTATCTATCACAGTGCCTCACATGTAGTTGATGCCCAATAAATACTTAAAATATTAAATGTAATGCCTGGAATACATTTAGTAAATCAAGATTATAGAATATAGTTGTTTAACCTTGGTCCCACATTACTTAGTTTCCTGTATGTCTCTCCTGGCTGCTTTCTGAGAAACAACAATGCTCAAGAATGTTGCTACACCCCATCCTACACATTCCTCTGTTCTTCTTTGGCCCAGAAAGAAAAAGAAAAAAAGTAGGTTGGCTATCAGGAAAGACCTCAAAGGTAGAGGAGCACCCTGTGGAGAAACTGTGGTCCAAGATGTGATCCTTAGCTCTTCCAATTAAAAAATTAATTTTTCCCATTGCTCTCAAAGGTGATAGGCCTCTAGGGTCTGACACAGACCATCTATATTACAAGAAATTCATTTATAAGCCAAGTGACTTATTTGTTTGTATGTTTTCAGTGACTGAAATACTTGTACCTAGGATCCAGGTCACTAACTTAATGATATCAGAGCACCTATGAAATCAACCAGACAATCAGAAGGTCATCCAGTGACCACGGAAACAAACCAAAATGAGTTAGACTATCTCTAGGGTGATTTTACCCAGGCTGAGGAAGAGCTTTGTCAGTGTCTCCCAGAAGGCTAGGAGAAAATAGAGTAAGGGATAATAAGGTCTTAAGTACACATTTGAAAGCTCTTATAAAATTTTTTCCTTATTTACTAAAAGAAAACAATTTTTTAAATTCAGGAAAAAAAATCAGTGGCATTTTATAAATCTAAATAATGGAAATGTACAATCTGGTTCCATAATTCTTTGATCCCAAGATGAGTTCCTGAGAGAATGGTAATATGGTATTGCCGATGATGGTGCTAAGAAAGAAGGAAAGATAGAGGATTGAAATTGGGTGAGATTCTCTGTACTCTCTTCTTCCTCTAACTTAAGAATCACCACAGTCTTGGTCAACTCAATTTCATAAAGAAAGTTAACTGTGTGCTTGTGGTTTCAGCTGGCTTACTGGTGCACCTACACGTACTAATAACGCATGATGATCCACTGAGAGTTCATCCTCCACCCTTGTGAAAAAACTATTAAGTGTAGGTTAAATGGTTATTTAAATAAATAATAAGTTGTACCTCTTGTCAAGGGCTACAGTGAGTCCTTCAAGCCTTATGTCAAAGTCCTTTCTATTCCAGAGGTTGGAAACCCAGGTGCCTACAGAGGCCAGGCTGGTGGGAATGAAGCAGGAAGCCACTGCAGTGAACTGGAGGGCCAAGTCCTTTCTGAAGGAGCAGCCACTGCTCCGTTCCAGATAATTGTTTCAAGACAGGAATGTTGACCTGGTGTTACCACATTATCCAGTTTCTCAGGTAAAGCAGGAAATGCAAATTTTCATGTGAAATCTTTTGGTTTAAATATTGTCAACTAATTCACTTTTATTATTATTCATAAACTATGTACAAGCCAAACACTTCTGCAGGTGGGATTTGGCCCAGAGTCGTCCTGTTTGTAACTTGGTCTTATATGTTGCTTACCTATTTGTTAAATTAGAAACTTTATTTTCTACAGGTTTTGTGATGTTGAAACTCTCTTCCTCTCCAACCTGAGACTTTGTGCATAAGTTTTCTTTAGCTGCTACATTTTCTCTCCCACCCTCAGCATTCCAGTGAGCATTCAAATGTAAATGGAATCTCCTTGAGATACTTTTCATATGACACCCCTAAACATCCGCAGATGTTACTACCTGCTCATTTTGTTCCTGATATGTGAGCTACTACAAGATCATTTATTTCATGGGGCTTAGAGATTGTATGCTTTGGGCTCCCCTTTCTAGAATCCACACAAACATGATCTTCCTCTGCTTGCTTCTTGAGAGACCTTACCAGACAATTTATTAGACAATAGTTATCTTTTATATTTAATTATGTTTGCTAGATGTGTTGATTGGACTTGAGTGTTTCTAGATATTTATACATATTTAGAGACAATGTCTTTGGGTGGATTTCTTCAATGACTGAGAAGTCTTCCTCTTTTCACTTCAAGAGTAACCTGATTTTCGAGGTTACTGGGAGTACCATTACCTCTATACAAATATGATTACTCCAAGTAGAAACTTGGCATCCACTACCAGGTGAATTGAAGAGTGCTAAACATTTTTATAGTAAAAGTAGATAAATAATAGTTGTTTCAATATATTGTACAACCCAAAATGGGCATAATTCACAATTGTTTCATTTTCAGTACAGTTTAAGGGAAAAACAATATTGGTGTACATCATTTTTCAGCAGTGATTTGACCTACATGTATTGAGATGCACCTTGAGTAGCCAAAATACCAGTAATGCACAGATAGGATGCAAAAATTACCCATTAAACTTGCTTGGTGCACTCTTAAATAGATTATGTAAGTGCAGACAAGTATTTTTTTATAAATACTCTCTGTTAGAAACTTCACTATACTATATGAAAGCAAAAATAGCAAATTATGCTGGTGGCTAATATACAGAAATAAATCATAAATAATTTTTCCCTCAGAATTATAGTAACTTTATCAATTAGTTTGTAGATGTTCTGGTATGACCTATTACTGTACTTTAAAACAGTTCTCTAAATTTTTTTTAAGGATATATATTTGGGAACTGGTTATTGTTCACTTTTTGTCTTTTAAGAAAGTAAAATGCATAGTAGACATTTCTTATATATGCATACAGACCCTCACTTTTTACTTCCTTATATATTTTTAAAGGCACAAAGAGACGCTTTAACTTGAAGTTAACTGTCTCAATTGCTTTTTCTAGGGCCGGCCCTGTGGCTTGGTGGTTAAGTGCGCGCGCTGCAATGCCGGCGGCCCGGGTTCGGATCCCGGGTGCGCATCGAGGCGCCACTTCTCCGTCCATCCTGAGGCCGAGTCCCACATACAGCAACTAGAAGGATGTGCAGCTATGACATGCAACTATCTGCTGGGGCTTTGGGGGGAAAAAATAAAATAAATAAAATCTTTAAAAAAAAAAAAATTGCTTTTTCTTTGCAGTCACATAGAAAGGCAAGAGCGAAGAGAAAGCTCAGTTGTATTTAGTAATATATATGAATTACTGGATATTGTAAGGGAGAATTACAAGAGGAATCCAATTTAGACTTGGAAAGCCAAATGATTGGGGAAATCAGGGAAGGCTTCTCTGAGGAAGTGACAGGTAAACTGAGATAAATAGGAGTTGGTTTAGTGAAGAACAAGAGAGTCAAGATGAGAGATGGTATTCCAAGCTGAAAAGTAGAAGTAACACCCTGAGGCAATTTAGAACCAATCAAAGGGATAGCCTTAATTTTTCTTTCTAGTATTTAGATCATCCAGGTTAATGTGGTATTCTTTCTGAGTCTCTGTGTCTTTTTCTCTACTTGGCAAAAACAGAGAAATGATAGCATAATGCTAGGCACAAAGCCTGTGACTGTTTCCAGTAAAAAGCTTCCCTAATTCTTTTAGGGATCATAGAAACATTAATTAGCTCTTCGATGGATATAACATATAATTTTTTGTAAATAATATTTTTTTTCTGATTACAGAGCCAATACGTTTTTATTACAGAAAATTTCGAAAATACAGAAAAGCAGTGAAGAAAATAAAAATCACTCATGTTCCCAGTACCTAGAGACAACCACTGGGAGGAGAGAGGATAGTGCCATTCTATTCCTATATCTACATATAGAGTAGCATTTTTGTAAATGAAGATTTATAATTATACATGCAACTTTGTAGTATGTTTTTCCACCTGACAATATCATGGGCCTTTCCCCTGGCTATTAAATTTTCTATAACATTTTAATAGCTATGTATAAATAATAACAACTAGGATATTTATTATGTGCTAAGCACTGGTTTAAGACTTTTAACTTATTGGATCCCCAGAACAATTCTATAAGGCTATAATTTCCATTTTATAAGGAAAGAAATTTTAAAACTTGCCCAGGGTCACAAGCTAATAAAGGGTAGAGCTACATAGCTTCTCAATACTGTAATTAATTTAAATAAAACCCTATTTTAGACTTTCAGGTTGTTTCCAGTATAGTTTTTGGCTATTTGAAGTAATACTCATGGTTCTGTGGATTGACATTCTAGGCTAGACTCAGCTGGGCCAGCTGATCCCTGTTCCACGTGGCGTTGGCTGGGCTCACTTACACAGCTGGGGCCTCAGCTAGACTGGCTGGACCAGCTGGACTTCTCTCTCTCCACGTGGTCTCTCATCCTCAAGGGGGCTAGTTCAGGTTATTCATGTGACAGTGGCATTCCAAGAAGCAAGAGTGGAAGATGCAAGGCCTCTTGAGGTCTAGGGTCAGAACTTAAACAGAAGCACATCCATCACATTCCACTGGTCAAAGCAAATCACAAGGCCAGCCCAGAATCCAAGTGTGGAGTAGTAAATTCCACCTCCTGATGGAAGGAGCTACAAAATATTTGTGGCCAATTGCACTCTAGTATACTCAGCATTTAGTTCTCTGAAGGCTTCTATGTGACTACAGTGTTTAAGTTGCTGAACCTTTGTAGCAAGAAATGGCCTGATACAGATAATCCTCCTGACTGTAGATGGGCATAGGCCAGGATGCTTGTTACCTTGACTCTGAAGACTGGCCTCACTCTCGGGAGCCTATCCTTTTACCTTCAGAGCTTATGAAAAAATGTAGCCTTCCTACATGAATGTGATCCCTCATGCACAGGTTGTGAACTTTTACATTTTTCTGCACTGAAAGGGCAAGGACGTCTGGAACCAGAGAGCTTCATTGATTAGGACAGGAAAGTTGTGCTTAAGGTATCCTGATACAACTGTATAAAACAAATGTAAATGTACTGGGGGTAGCTTGGGGTTAGTAAGTAGAGCTTGAGAGGGGCATTAGGTCTCTTACAGAAGATGTATCTGAGAGGTAGAAGAGGTGGCTGCACAGTGAAGATAAGAACCAAATGGAAATAATAACAAGAGTGAAAATGGGGCTAATCTATTTGAAGGTTTTTAAATAATGAAAAAGGATATAACTGCAAGATAAGTGTGCTCCTAAACAAAAAATGCATAGCTTGAATAAATAGGTGAAAGGTGAAACAGATGGGAAGATTGAATGGGGAAACTGGCTAAGTGCTGTGAAGGAACTGTTTGAATAATTGATAGGTGGGTGAAAGATGATTGTAAAGGGGAAATGTCATTTAGGGTTACTCTAACAAGCATAATTTAACTAATAATGATGGAAAGATTATGAGTATATCCTTTTATTATCCAATCAAATGATAATTATGCTGTAGCCACTCAGACATTACTCTCCAAAATGCTAATATTGATGTTATTTTTTAAATCCAATCATATCTGTTCTTGTGTGTATATATTATTTTGGAATTTAAGTATAGAGGTAAGTTTTATATGAGACTTGTTCTCGGTTGGAGAACATGAAGCACTCACTCTTGGAAATGTAGGAATGGAATGGACTTCTTATTTAACTTTAAATATTTCATGAACTAAGTTTATAATCATAGTATAAAAAGTATAAATGATGATTAAGACTTACATAACATATTAAATATTGATGTTTTACCTAATTTACATAGTCTCACCTTGATAAATGAATAGTTCATTGGGTATTTATTCTGTCCTACTGTATATCCAAGTAACAGCACAAGATCAATGTGTGATGTCATTATAAACATTTTAATAGAGTTTACTCCTGATACCACATGGCTCAAAAATCAATTCATTATTTTTACCATTAATAAAATTTGTGAGTCATTATTCAGAAAAAATTATGACATTTGATGTTATTCAGAAAGATTTATGAAGGAGAGCTACTTACTTATTTTCATGATGTCATATTCTCTGATATTTACTTTGCATGGTGTTTTGGGTATAACTTTTAAAATATACATTTAACGCTGCATAAAGTCGTGAGTTTATTCTTAGGTTGACAAGAATGTCAGTAAGGCAGATTGAGGAAAAAAAGGTCTATTGTGTTAATTAACATCCTGTTGAAATATATTTAATTTCTATATTGTTGCATTCATTTATTTTAGTGGTTCCTTTATTAATCCAATTAAAGTGTGTATATAAACTACTTAATAAGTAAAACTGATGTACTTACAAATAAAGCATAAATTTAGCATATTAATTTTCTTAGAAGCTCTATCATGCTTTTTCTACACAGAAATTATCACCCAGAGATTGTGAGACCATTTGGAAAAATCTAGAGCAAAAAAATCCTTTGTATACTTTGTCAACATGCACACTCATTGACTTCTCTTGGCTTCTTTTAAAAACTTCTCTTTCATTTTAGACACATGTTGCTAAAACTTTATAAGCCTACATGGTAAAAATCAGAGTATAAAATTGTGTTGACTAATTAGA